TGCTCACATCACTTCTATTTAACATTGCTCTAGAGATTCTAGCAGGTGCAGTAAGTCAAGAAAACAAATAAAACGTTTTAGATTAGAAAGGAAGAAGTAAAACCGTCTTTACAAACAACACTATTAGATGCAGAAATGCTGATGGAATCATTAGCTGATGGAATTTTTTTTAACGATCAGGGATAATAAGTGTGTTTACCAAGATTGAAAGATATAAGACCAATATCTTAAAAATCTGGCTAGTCAAGACAGGGATCTCTGAGGAAAAAATCTAAACAATAAGATAGATTCTAACAAATAAAAAATAAAAACCAGGCCAATGTGGTGGTTCATGCCTATAATCCAAGCATTTTGGGAGGCTGAGGAGGGAGGATCTCTTTAGCCCAGGAGTTTGAGACCAGCCTGGGCAACATAGTGAGATCCTGTCTCTATACAAAAATAAAAAATAAAAGTAAAAATAATTTTTAAAAACAAAAATCAATTGTATTTTATATGAGCAATTATAAACTGAAATTATTTTTTGTTGTTGTTGAGACAGAGCCTCACTCATGGCTGGCTAATGTTTGTATTTTTAGTAGAGACGGGGTTTCACCATGTTGGTCAAGCTGGTCTCGAACATCTGACCTTGGGATTCACCACCTCGACCTCCCAAAGTGCTGGGATTACAGGCATGAGCCACTGAGCCTGGCTGAAATTCTGAAAATACAATTTACAATTGGATTAAAAATATGAAATACTAGAGGATAAACTCAGAAAATATTTGCAAATGTGTACACTAAAAACTGCAAAACATTACTGGGTAAAATAAAATAAATAAATGGAGAAATATATTCTTGGGTGGGAAAACTCAAGATATCAATTCTTGAAAAATTCAGTGACACATCAATTAAAATCCCAGTGAGATTTTTTTATAGAAATTGAGAATCTTATTCTAAAATTTATATGAAAATTCAAAATAGAAAAAAGTAAGGATATCTAGAAATAAATGCCACTAAAAATGTATTGAGATAAAAATAAAATGTTATCAGAAACAGTAAAGACCTGAACAATTTGATAGCTATATCATGTTCATGGGTAGAAACATAGAATATTATAAAAATTTTCAATCCTTCCCAAATTTATCTATAAATTTGATACAACTCCAATCAAAATACCAATCTTACTTTGTGGAATTCAGTAAACTGATTCTAAAATACATATGAAAGAATAAAGACCTGAGGGCTAGGAGGGGTTAGAGTAGTAGTATTTCTTCTACCACATACCAAGGTTTATCATAAAGCCATAGTAATTAAAATATTGATATTTACAAATATTTATAGCAACTTGTTTCATAGTAGTTTCACATTTCACCAACCTTTAGTGTGTCTATTCTTTTATTATTTAAACTCAGTGGGTGAAAAGTGATATTTCATTTTGGTTTTAGTTGTCTTAATAATATAACCACCCTAGTTTTCTTTAGTGCTTGTACAGTGTCTGTTTGTCTATTCTTTTATAATCAACTTGTCTGTGACTTTATGTTAAAGATGTGTTTCTTATATACCACATACAAGCTCTTGCTTTTTTTTAATCCAGGGTGACAGTCTCTGCCTTTAAATTGCAGTGTTTAGTCTTCTTAGATTTAGTGTAACTATTGCTATGGTTCAGTTTGAGGCTCCCATTTTGGCATTTGTTTTCTACTAATCCCGCTTGTTCTTCTTTCCTTTGTTTATCCTTCCTTGCCTTATCTGGATGAATCATGTATTTTTTAGTTTTTCTATGTTGTCTCCTATACTGGTGTGTAAAATAGAATAAAGCATTGTAGGATGACAGGTGGCTTCTATTGTTTTTGTTTGTTTTATTTTTAATGAAAGTTATAAATATGCCATTTTATTATCTGATGGCCCCCATCCTTTTTGGTCAGTCAGCTATTATTTGTATCATTGTTCTCATGTATATGATGAATCTTTTTCACTCTAGTTGCTTTTAAGATTAGCTTTTTATCTTTGGTTTTCTGCAGTTTTACTATGTGCCTAAATGTGATTTCCTTTGTATTTATCCTACTTGAGGTTCAGTTGAGTTTCTTGGGTTTCTGGGTTTATGTCTTTCATTAATATTAGAATGTCCATGGCTATTATCTCTTCAAATGTTTCTTCCACCTCATTCTCTTTTTCCTCTCCTACTGGGATTCCAAAAACACCTGTGTGAGACCATTTAATGTTGTCTCATAGATCTCAGGTGACCTGTTCATTATTTTTTCACTGTTTTTTCCTTTGTATTTCAGCTTGTATGCATGCTATTAACGTGTCTTCAAATTCACTGCTCTTTTCCTCTGCTTTTTCCAGCTTGTTGCTAAATCCATCTGATTTTTTTTTAAGACAGGGTCTCACTTTGTCAATTAGCCTGGAGTGCAATGGCAAAATTACAGCTCACTGCTGCCTCAAACTGTTGGCCTCAAGCAATCCTCCCACTGTGGCTTCCCAAAGTGCTGTGATTACAGGCATTCCTGGCCTATTTATTTATTTATTTATTTAGATGGCGTTTTGCTCTTGTTGCCCAGGCTGGAGTGCAGTGGTGCAGTCTTGGCTCACGGCAACCTCCACCTCCCAGATTCAAGTGCTTCTACTGCTTCAACCTTGCGCATAACTGGGATTACAGGCATGCACCACCATGTCAGACTAATGGCTAATTTTTTTATCTTTAGTAGGGATGGGGTTTTGCTATGTTGGCCAAACTGGTCTTGAACTCCTCTAATTATTTCTTTATTCTTGATTTTTTTTTTAATTTCTAGCATTTCCATTTTGTTCCTTTTTATCATTTCTGTATCATGGCTGAAGTTCCTCATCTCTTCACTATGTTGCCCATCTTTTCCACTAGACCCTTCAGCATTTTTATTATAGTTGTTTTCTCTTTAGACATTCTTGGTACCTTACCACTGACAACATTCCAGAGATCTCTTTATACTTTACAGTGAAGCCACCAACCTCCGAAATCCTTGGGAGAGCTGTCTCTGCTTTACAACCTAGCTGCCAGCTTTTGTATCATTGATCATTTGATCGTTTTTGATCAATTATCTTTACTTTCTCATCTGACTCTGAATTTTGGTGCACTTGGGGATATCTCCATCTTCCTCTCTTCCTTCCCTTCTCCTCCTGCCCACTCCACACTTCCCTCTCCTTTTCCCTCTCCCTCTCCTCTGTCTCCTATCTCCCTGTCCCAATCCTGTCAGGGAGGCTGCTTTAGACTCTGGGTAGAGGCCACGCGTGGCTCAAAGAAAGTTCCCCTCCACTCTCTTATCCCACTCTGAGTCATGGAGCTGAGAATTCATAGTGTGGATGGGTTTCTCTCAACTTTCCCCTTGATGTATGCGCCTTTCCTGCCTTCAGAGAGTTACTGTCTTACATTTTTAAGAGACCTTGAATGCTTCAGAAGGATCTTTCACCTCACCTGCAGGATTATGCCGAAGCATTAACTGGAGTTATGTGGGAAAGAGTTTGTGGGTGAGAGTGAAAACTCACTCCTTGACTGGGAATCGTTGGAATTCTCATCTATCATGTTTATGACATGTTCCTCTTCCCATCTCTCTGACAAGAATGAGAATGGCTCTTCCTTCTATGAAGGACTCATCATTTTGTTTCTATTTCTTCTTTAAGGATTGTTTCACTCATTTCCAGCAATGTAAGCTCTATACTTAAAAGTGGATCCACGTTTAGCAAAATGACCTCTTACCCCAAATTGTGTCTGTCTTTGATTACCGGTTTGATACCTGCCCACCTCCTGTTTCAGTATACACTTAATATTTGTACCTTAAGTAAAATGAGGACAATGTGTTCAAAATATAGAAATTACATTTTAAGTAAAAATCCCTAAAAATTAGAACAGTGGGGAAAGGAGACAGAGAAGAAGGGAGGCCTTGGACTTCTTGATGAAATTAGGCCTACCGAGTTTCAGGCACAGCAGTTTCTGACCACCCTTCCCATCTAACAGCCTATGTCCATAAAAGGGTAGAATTTGTTTGTCTGAGATTTTAAGTTTTCTTTTCTCTTTATCTGGTAACCAAGGAATCTAGAATTCCAGAAATGAGTTACCATTTGAAGAGACCTTGTATGTTGACCTTAGTAAACATCAAGGTCAAAGGGGCACTCCTGGCCAGACTGATAAATATATAAAGAAAGACAAGGCTGATGTGCTTAAAAGATTTAAAAGGAATTAAAATGTATTATTCCTACTGAAAGAAACAATTTATGAAAAAATAAAATTATTAAGATAATTTTTATGGTTATATTTAATATGATAAATTTCTATTTAATGTATTCCTATGCCTGAAATATTATTCAAAAATATATTGAAACAAATCAAATCTTAGCATTTACTTTTTTTTTTTTGAAGCGAAGTCTCACTCTTGTCCCCCAGCTGGAGTGCAATGGCACTATCTCAGTTTACTGCAACCTCCATCTCCCAGGTTAAAATGGTTCTCCTGCCCCAGCTTCTCTAGTAGCTGGGATTACAGGCACCTACCACCACCCCCAGCTAATTTTGAACTTTTGTGGAAATGGGGTCTCACTGAGTTGCCCAGGCTGGTCTCAAACCTCTGACTTCAAGTGACTCTCCTGCCTCAGCCTCCCAAAGTGCAGGGATTATAGGCATGAGACCACCACACCTGGTCTCTATCTTTTAAATATAGCAAATTGGAAGATGGAAATTGTTAGACTTTGGGAGTTAAGCTATGAGGACACAAAGGCATAAGAATGATACAATGGACTTTGGAGACTTGGGGGGAGGGTGAGAGAGGGTGAGGGATAAAAGACTTACATTGGGTACAGTGTACTCTGCTCGGGTGATGGATGCACCAAAATCTTAGAAATCTCCACTAATGAACCTAACTCGTGTAACACCACCTGAACACCCAAAAACCTACTAAAGTACAATTTTTAAAAAATAAAAATAAAATTAAAAAAAGAGAAATTGTTAGACCCATCTCTAAAGTCAAAGATTTTTTCTTATCATTTTTCATTTTGTCACAGGCTAAAGGAAGAAGAAGCAACTTGGCAGTCTGGACAGAAAATGAAATTTACCTCGGATATATTCTTTTTAAATTTGCCAGATTAGTAACTACCACAGAACTGAAAAATATCCTAAATCTACCAGTAACTGCTACTGTGACTATCCACTCTGTTCAGTATACAGGACACCCTCTGGAGATTGCTGTTTTTTTAAATTATTGCATTGTGTGTACCGTCACCAAAAAGATTTTCTTAGTGATATATAATGAAGATACGAAACAGTGGATTTCCCAAGACCTTACATTAGATGCTCCTATTGACAGTGTTTTCATTCCACATTTTATGTTTTCAGCACTGCCAGAATTAATACTATGGAACAAGCATAGTATCTACTATTATTTCAATAATTTCACCTTTACTGGGATTTTGCAGACACCTGCAGGACATGGAAATCTATCAATGCTATCAAATGGCAGCATTATTCATGAAGTTTTAATAGGTAAGGCATTCTCAGTCTACTAACATTATTCTAGATTTCATTATAGACCTCTTCCTTATAATGATGTAACACTTTTTAATTACCAATATGTGGCGCTGTTGACAGCCAAAGGTGCACTTCTTAACACCTACAAATGAATCGACTTTGAATGCAAGTAAAAATGTTAACTATGATCTCACAGAGCAAAAGGGCAAACTCAATTTCTTTTTGCGAGGGAGAGGGGAGCTTCATTTTGGTCAATCAACAGATTCTAACTAAGCAATTTATATATACATCTTAGTGTGTAGGAGGTGCTGTGGTATTGTGTTCATTTCCTGGGGCTCCCATAACAAAGGCCTACTGGATGACTTAAAACAACAGAAATGTATCGTTTCACCCTTCTGGAGGCTAGAAGAGAGAAATCAAGGTGTTGATAGGGCCATGTTCCCACTAAAACCTGGAGAGGGAGGTTTTGTGTTATAAAGCACATATGAAGCAAGTTCATACGTGTTTTTTAAACAACCATGAGCCACAGTGATAAGAAGACAAAGTTAGAATGATACATTGGGGATAGATTTTAGAGGATGTCAGATACCCAGTTTCAATGTTGTACTAAAGGTCATTCAGAAACAATAAAATGTAACAAGCTCAAACAATTTGTAAGTGTATGAAGTATGAAGTTAAAGGCCTTCATCTCTCACCATTCTCATTTACCGAGTAACCAACTATTAAGAAACTCCTGTAAGGCTGGGTGTGGTGGCTCACGCTTGTAATTCCAGCAGTTTAGAAGGCCAAGGTGGGAAGATCATTTGAGCTCAGGAGTTTGAGTCCAACCTGGGCAACATGGTGAAACCTCATCCCTACTAAAAATTTAAAAATTACCTGGGCATGGTGGTACACGCCTGTGGTCCCAGCTACTCAGAAGGCTGAAGCAGCAGGATCACTTGAGCCCGAGAGGTCAGCGACGCAGTGAGCCATGTTCACATCACTGAACTCCCCAGCCTGGACAACAGTGTGAAACCCTTTCTCAAAAAAAAAAAAAAAAAAAAAGTTCCTGTGAGTTTGTCCAGACTTTCAAACAAGGAAATACTAAATATAATTGGCATATTTTCAAAACGATACATATAAAACGAATACCATTTTAACTGCTGTGTAATGTTCTACTCTCTATGCACGCTATTGTCTAATAGGGGTGTAGAAAGATATTTAGACAGATACTAGGCTTCAGTTCTTTTGCTGATACAAATAATGCTGCAGAAAGTATGCATATATACACACACCAGTACAAGTATTTCTGTAATATAAATTACTGGATACAGAATTCCTGAATCAGAAATTACAAATATTTTAAAAGTTGATAAATCCTTCTCATTTACCCACCAGCAAAGTTTGTCACAGTCTAAACTCCCCCAAAGGTATTTGAAAATGTATCATTTTCATATAATCTGTTTAACAGTTACCAATTATATAGAAGAAAAATGTGATTCTCATTTTATTGCACATATTTTTTATAATTAGATGTTTTATCTAGTTCCATAAATTTATTGGCCACATCCTTCTGTGAATTTTTTCTTGTCATTTCCTTATTTCTTTCTGTTTTTTTTTTATATATATATACTTTAAGTTTTGGGATACATATACGGAATGTGCTGGTTTGTTACATAGGCATACACGTGCCACGGTGGTTTGCTACACCCATCAACCCATCATCTACATTAGGTATTTCTCTAAATGCTATCCCTCCCCTAGCCCCCCATCCCCTGACAGGCCCTGGTGTGTGATGTTCCCCTCCTTGTGTCCATGGGTTCTCATCGTTCAACTGCCACTTAGGAGTGAGAACATGCGCTGTTTGGTTTTCTGTTCCTGTGTCAGTTTGCTGAGAATTATGGTTTCCAGCTTCATCTATGTCCCTGTGAAGGACATGAACTCATCCTTTTTTGTGGCTGCATAGTATTCCATGGTGTATATGTGCCACATTTTCTTTATCCAGTCTATCATTGATGGGCAATTGAGCTGGTTCCAAGTCTTTGCTACTGTGAACAGTGCTGCAGTAAACATACATGTGCATGTGTCTTGATAGTAGAATGATTTATAATCCTTCGGGTATATACCCAGTAATGGGACTGCTGAGTCAAATGGCATTTCTGGTTCCAGATCCTTGAGGAAGCGCCACACTGTCTTCCACAATGGTTGAACTAATTTACACTCCCACCAACAGTGGAAAAGTGCTCCTATTTCTCCACATCCTCTCCAGCATCTGTTGTCTCCTGACTTTTTAATGATTGCCATTCTAACTGGAGTGAGATGATATCTCATTGTGGTTTTGATTTGCATTTCTCTAATGACCAGTGATGATGAGCTTTTTTTCATATGTTTGCTGGTGGCATAAATATCTTCTTTTGAGAAGTATCTGTTCATATCCTTTGCCCACTTTTTTATTGGGTTATTTTTTTTCTTGTAAATCCGTTTTAGTTCTTTGTAGATTCTGGATATTAGCCCTTTGTCAGATGGATACATCATGAAAATTTTCTCCCATTCTGTAGGTTGCCTGTTTATTCTGATGATATTTCTTTTGCTATGCAGAAGCTCTTTAATTTAATTAGATCCCATTTGTCAATTTTGGCTTTTGTTGCCATTACTTTGGGTGTTTTAGTCATGAAGCCTTTGCCCATGCCTATGTCCTGAATGGTATTGCCTAGGTTTTCTTCTAGGGCTTTTGTGGTTTTAGGTCTCACATTTAAGTCTTTAATCCATCTTGAGTTAATTTTTGTATGAGGTGTAAGGAAGGGGTCCAGCTTCTGTTTTCTGAATAGGGCTAGTCAGTTTTTCCAGCATCATTTAATAAATAAGGAAAGCTTTCCCCATTGCTTGTTTTTGTCAGGTTTGTCAAAGATCAGATGGTGGTAGATGTGTGGCACTATTTCTGAGGCCTCTGCTCTGTTCCATTGGTCTATATAACTGTTTTGGTACCAGTACCATGCTGTTTTGTTTACTGTAGCCTTGTAGTATAATTTGAAATCAGGTAGTATTATACCTCCAGCTTTGTTCTTTTTGCTTAGGATTGTCTTGGCTATATGGGCTCTTTTTTAGTTCCATATGAAATTTAAAGTAGTTTTTTCTAATTCTGTGAAGAAAGTCACTGGTAGCTGATGGGGATAGCATTGAATCTATAAATTACTTTGGGCAGTATGGCCATTTTCATGATATTAATTCTTCCTATCCATGAGCATGCAATGTTTTTCAATTTGTGTCCTCTCTTATTTTATTGAGCAGTGGTTTGTAGATATTGAAGAGGCCCTTCACATCCTTGTAAGTTGTATTCCTGGGTACTTTATTCTCTTTGTCACAATTGTTAATGGGAGTTCACTCATGATTTGGCTCTCTATTATTGGAGTATAGGAATGCTTGTGATTTTTGCACATTGATTTTGTATCCTGAAACTTTGCTGAAGTTGCTTATCAGCTTAAGGAGATTTTGGGTTGAGACAATGGGGTTTTCTAAATATGCAATCACATCATCTGAAAACAGAGATAATTTGACTTCCTATTTGAATCCCCTTTATATCTTTCTCTTGCCTGATTGCCCTGGCCAGAACCTCCAATACTATGTTGAATAGGAGTCGTGAGAGAGGGCATCCTTGTTTTGTGCCAGTTTTCAAAGGGAATGCTTCCAGTTTTTGCCCATTCAGTATGATATTAACTGAGGTTTATCATAAATAGCTCTTATTATTTTGAGATACGTTCCATCAATACCTAGTTTATTGAGAGTTTTTAGTATGAAGGGTGTTGAATTTTATCAAAGGCCTTTTCTGCACCTATTGAGATAATTGTGTGGTTTTTGTCATTGGTTCTGCTTATGTGGTGGATTACATTTATTGTTTTGTGTATGTTGAACCAGGCTTGCATTCCAGCAGTGAAGCCAACTTGATCGTGGTGGATAAGCTTTTTGATGTGCTGTTGGATTTGGTTTGCCAGTATTTAATTGAGGATTTTCACATGGATGTTCATCAGGGATATTGGCCTGAAATTTTGTTTTTCTTGTGTCTCTGCCAGGTTTTGCTATCAGGATGATGCTGGCCTCATAAAATGAGTTAGGGAGGAGTCCCTCTTTTTCTATTTTTTGGAATAGTTTCAGAATGAATGGTACCAGCTCCTCTTTGTACCTCTGGTAGAATTCAGCTGTGAATCTGTCTGGTCCCAGGTTTTTTTGGTTGGTAGGCTATTAATTACTGCCTCAATTTCAGAACTTGTTATTGATCTATTCAGGCATTTGACTTCTTCCTGGTTTAGTCTTGGGATGGTGTATGTGTCCAGGAATTTATCCGTTTCTTCTAGATTTTCTAGTTTATTTGCATAGAGGTGTTTATAGTATTTTCTGATGGTAGTTTGTATTTCTATGGGATCAGTGGTGATAGGCCTTTTATCATTTTTTATTGTGTCTATTTGATTCTTCTATCCTTCCTTCTTTGTTAGTCTGGCTGGCAGTCTATCTATTTAGTTAATCTTTTTCAAAAAACCAGCTCCTGGATTCATTGATTTTTTTTGAAGGGTTTTTCATGTCTCTATCTCCTTCAGTTCTGCTCTGATCTTAGTTATTTCTTGTCTTCTGCTAGCTTTTGAATTTGTTTGCTCTTGTTTCTCTAGTTCTTTTAATTGTGATGTTAGGGTGTTGATTTTAGATCTTTCCCGCTTTCTCCTGTGGTCAGTTAGTGCTATAAATTTCCCTCTGAACACTGTTTTAGCTGTGTCCTAGAGATTCTGGTATGTTGTGCCTTTGTTCTCATTGGTTTCAAATAATTATTTATTTCTGCCTTCATTTCATTAGTTACCCAGTAGTCATTCAGGAACAGGTTGTTTAGTTTCCATGTAGTTGTGCAGTTTTGAGTGAGTTTCTCAATCCTTAGTTCCAATTTGATTGCACTGTGGTCTGAGAGACTGTTTGTTATGATTTCCATTCTTTTGCATTTGCTGAGGGGTGTTTTACTTCCAATTATGTTGTCAATTTTGGAATACGCGTGATGT